TTGCTTTAACTCTTTGTACTCTATATAAACTACTGGAACCAGAATTTCCCTGAAGGACTAAGCCCAAGGGATAAATAAAGTTGAGTCTAAGTCTATTAAACTGGTACATTATTTTTTTAGGTTTCTGATACATTATTGGACCATGCAAAACACAGATTTACCTTCAAAGCCTCAGAAGGGCAAGATGTATGGATGTCTATTCTATTAACATTTCTCTATCTGTAGAATGGGGCTGTTATATGTGTTGTCTGCTCAATTCAGAGGGGCCCCCTGCCTGTCTTTGCCTAGGGCCCCAGATTTCCTAAATCCGTCCCTGGTCTGAACAGTCAGTCAACTGAGTTCACTATAAAGTGCACTATATAGTCCGTGCTCTAAATAGTGATTACGCCTCTGCTTAATATTTATTTCCAAAACTCAGTTATAGTTTGAATGGACTGTGTAAAAGTTGGACCGGACCTTTATAAACACCCAAACCTCTGTGAGGTTTGGGTGTTTATAAAGACACAATATCATCAAAGATTGATTCAGCAGCCTTGTGTATTTTATCTTAATTATATAATTTTTTTCTTTCAAAGTAGCTGTTTTCATCTCCATCTGGTATTGAAGCTAAGCTCTTTATAAGCTACTCTGTTTTTAACATATGATAGTGCTTTTGACTCCCTGTTCAAAACACTGTGAACCATCAGAGCAGCAGTTTAAAGAGTGTGAGTGCGTTTACTGCTAACCAGGCCGTCTGAAGTGGGCTCTTTAAAGACGCAGGTGTTTATCTTGGGAAAATGACTCTTTGTCCAGGATTGGTTATACTCCTTTGAAAAACAGCCTTTAGACTCAACACGCATAAAATGTTGAGCATGGAGCTGTGCAGACACTACATAATCAGAGAGTTATGAGAAAGCTTATTGCTGTGAGATGCAGCTGGGACTTGAGATACGGGTCTGAGGTGGAGGTGGGAGGATCAGGTTATTCTGACCACGGCCATTTTCTCACACATCTTCTTCTGTTGTGCATGTGTGTCTGTTAGCAGCATATCTGACCTGTCTGGCCTTGAGGCGGTGGGGCTGATAAGTCACTTTACTTCCCCTCAGCCTGACATCCGTCCAAAATATTCCCATATGACCCTATTCACCCTAATATGGATGTGTATATATATATAAATATATATATATATACATATATATATATGTTTCTACTTACAGATCTTGTGTGTTTCTCCTCCCTCCACATGGTATACTGCATTCTTTCATGCTCTATCAGCACCACAAGGTCAGTTTGGTTTGCCAGCACCTGTTTGCCAGTCTGGATGTTGACGTCAGGATCTGATCTATTATTCTCCATCCCTCATTGACTGGATGACCTTCAGCCCATAGCCGTTCATTAAATCAGCTGCCAGTAAAATCATTTAAATTTTATAAAGTGATAATAAATTAAAATGATTAAAAAAGGAAATCATTATATATATATATATATATATATATATATATATATATATATATATATATATATATATAATACATATTTTTATATATATATATATAAAATACATATTTGTATATTAATAAATAAAACAACTGAAGAAGCCTGATGTTCCTGAACTAAAATTTTGTTTTAGAAACATTTTGAGGCTGAAAATCCCTGAAATCAGGTGTTTTCTGTAACTTTCAGGAAACGTTCGCAGCTCCTGACAGCTATAAAGATCTTCATTTGTCTGGGGGACACACTGTGTTTTTTAGAATTATAAAAAAAAAAAAAAAATCTTCAAATAAATCAATATTTTATTTTCTAAATTTGTGTTTTTTTTATTTCTTATTACTTTGGGCAGATTTGTGTTATTTGAATTTATCATTTTCTTTAATGGGAGTACGGGTTAGTAAACTTTGAAGCACTACTGTATATAGATCTGATGTATATATAAATATAGTGTGAAATACATAAATGTAAATTTCTAATAATATAAATTAAAGCAACATGAAAGCGGCAGTAAAACAGACATATATATGTATCCATCCAGAAATACTGAAGTGGAAATGTTTTAGTTTCACCTGGTTTGATTTCATAAAAAAATATTCATTAAGGAACCTTTTGCTATGTGATTAATAATTATTATATTGAATAATAATCGACAGATTAATCAATTTGCAAAATAATTGTTAGTTGCAGCCCTAAATTATTTATTAATTGATTTCTTTATGTGCTAAATTTTTCGATATTAAACGTCACAGCTACAACTTCTGGAACAAAGTGATGAAGAATTCATCACTTTTTTCATCAAATTTTTATTTTTTTGGTTGGGTTCACAAGACAGTTCTTATAATTATTGCGATGTGATCCCTGAGATAAACGGAGGGCCAAAAGAAAATAAAATAACAAAATAATTAAATGTAATCAAAAACGCATTTATTTGAAAAGAAATATAATTACGTCAATCTACATGTTTAAATATTGCGTTACATAGTAATTACTAAAACTAATGTTAAATCCTTCTACAGGACAAAACAGATTATTTAAACTCTTTTTTTTAACGATTCAATACATTTTATGTTTTGGAAAATTTCCTCATGTAAAAAAATAATTTCATCTGCTGCCGGTCCCTAAATGCCAGCACTCCCAGGGGTGGGCAACTAACGGTTCTACTAAATGACATCACATCTCCTGCTAAACCAGTAGCAAAACTCAGATGCAATAATACCTTTTTAACCAGAGGAGGGCGCCAACAGATCCTTTTAAACAGAAGAAGGATTTCAACCACGGTGCAGTAAATGCCAGGGACACGTAGATGGCACTATAACTCGTGTTTTACGCAGGGCAGAGCTAGATGGGGGGCCAGGGGTGGCCATGGCCAATCATTGGCCAACTCTGTGGCCACTTTTACCATATTCCCCTCTAATACAGACTGTGGCAGCAGTAATACTCTGAAGTGGAATGTT